AACCAGGGAGAGTCCAGCGCCAGGACGCAGCTCCCCGGGGCCGGGGGGACGTTGAGGCAACGGCAGCGGAGACGCACTCGAATAAATATTTGGGGGCGGGCACGGGGCAGGTGAGCCCCAGCCCGGCACAGTCCGGGGGGGCCCGGCCCCGCCGCCCTCACGTCTGGTGCACCTCGTGGAACATGAGCTCCCGGGGGATGCGGGTCTCGGGCCCGAAGTTCTTGGCCGCGCGGCGCTCGAAGGCGGCCACCATCTGCTTGACCACCTCGTCGAAGAACACGGTGGCCAGCTGGGAGTGCAGCAGGGAGCGGAACTCGAAGGAGATCTGGGGAGGAGAGCGGGTGAGCCCCCAGGGGAACGCCTGCCCTGCCCCCCTGCCCCGGGCGGGGTCTCACCGAGAAGTCCACGGTGCTGGTGCGGGGGTAGCCGGGGATGCCGGGGCTGAAGCGCCAGTTGGTCTCCAGGTGGTTGAAGAGGCGCCCGTCGGTGCAGACGGCCTGGGAAGGGGGAGAGCACAGGCACGGGGATCATGGAATCATGGAATTAATCAGGTTGGAAAAGACCTCTGAGATCACTGAGCCCACCCTGTGCCCGATCCCATCCTTGTCCCCCAGCCCAGAGCACTGAGTGCCACGGCCAGGCCTTCCTGGACACCTCCAGGGGTGAGGACTCCAAACCTCCCTGGAAAGCCCCTGCCAAGGCCTGACTGTGCTTTCCAAGCAGAAATTCCTCCTGCTGTCCAGCCTGACCCTCCCCTGGCACAGCTTGAGGCCGTTCCTTCTTGTCCTGTCCTGAGCCCCCCCAGCTCCCTCAGTTCTCCAGCCCCTTCCCCAGCTCCGTTCCCAGCTCTGGACACGCTCCAGCCCCTCAATGTTCCTCTTGCCGTGAGGGCCCAGAACTGGGCACAGCCCTGGGGGGGCCTCAGCAGTGCAGAAGAGCCTCCCAGAGAGCGTGTCCTGCCCTCACCTTGACCAGGTGTGGCCGGACCAGGGTGACGATGGACGTGTACCGCTCCAGCACGGGCGGGAACCCCACCTCCAGCTGGGCCTTGATGTGCCCCGAGCGCCGCGACACCACCACCGACTTCTTGCACCAGGGCACGAAGTTCTTGTAGTCCTCCACGTTGGCCACCACGTCGTACATCTCCTGCATGGAGTACCTGGGGGGCACAGCGGGTGTTGGGGCCGGGGGGCCGGTGCCCGGTGCCCCCCCGGGCCCCCCGACGTACCCGATGATGCGCCGCTCCGAGTACTCCTTGCGCTTGTTGGTGAGGCTCAGGAAGGTCCTGCTGGGCTGGCAACGGGGCTCCCAGGGCACGGGGCCCGGCCTGGCCAGGCGGGACAGCCG